ACGACCAGAACCTGGTTCATACTCGATACGCTTGGGAATACCTACAATAGAAGGAATGATATTTTTCATGACCATTTCTGTTTCTTCATTGTAATAGTGCTGTGGAAATCAATGACGACGCAACAAATTTTGAAACTTTATTTTTTCCAAAGAATTGTGAACTAAAATTGTCATGAAAATGATTTCTGAAACCGAGTACTCTCGGCACTAAGTCGGGCAAGTATGATGGATCTATTCTACACTTCATGTCAAAATGATGGAAGACCAGTAAAATATTTTTTTATCTACGATGCTGACATACAGATCTGAAACCACCCATGTGACTAAAACACTCATCAAAACACTCAAAAAGTCAATGAAAGGTGCATTAAAGGCTCTATAGATCAGAAACTGTACAATTTGGGGTAAATTAGTACAATACTGCTCAATTATTCATCAGTCAAGACTAAAACGCATATGTTCATATTTGCCAATTTGCTGTAACTAATTTACAACTTTAGTTTGAAAGAAAGTTGGCCCACCTACGTAGATCATGTACTCTGTAAATGTTATCCACCCATCCCTGACAGAATTGTTTATATATGAAGCTACACAAGGCACATTTTCATACTACTGAGAATTACCATATTCCCTTTTTATACTGGTCAGTGACTCTGAATAGCTAACCTGATAGTGCCAGTGATAACACAGATATACACAATATTCTATTACACGTAAATAAACAATTTGGTGTTGCATGCATGGTTGTTAGTAATCATTCTCAGAAGCAGTAAGCATAATTTGATGGCAAGTAACAGTGTATAGTAATTTGGAGTCTTCCTTACCTTGCCATCCGGGTGTGCAGATTTTACTAACCAGTATGGTCACCAGCACTGAAGGACTTTTCTTACCACCGCAATCATAAGCAGTTACAGCAAGGATGTAATTGGTAGCCATATCGTAAGACAGTGGTTCTGTATTCCTAATGACGCCTATAATTAACCAAAGTTGACATAAATACGGGCGAGGTCAAGGGGTAGAAACAGAAGCAAGAATATGATTAAAGCCATTTTCTTGGCGCCCTATACATCCTGAGATGTTAGTTTCACCAATCTCAATAAGTGCGCTTTGTGTAATATACAGGAAATTCTGGCCTTGAAATTCAAGGCTGATAAAATGCACTGTAAAAGGCAAATTTCATTATTCGAGGTAAATCGTGATATTTTGTAGCAGTGACCAATTGGTGTTTTTAAGATGAAGTCGCCGACATGAAGGAAATTCCAGCTTTGTAAACACCATCAAACCTAGCCTCAAAAATTTGCAGAATACTGTAGATTACTTTATTTTTGCTTGGAATTTATTTTCGCTGAAGGGATGATTCTGTGAAAATACTTTTTTCCCTATATTTCACATTAAACTCATCAAAGATCAGTGAAAATAAATTCCATACAAAACGCCCAAAAAGCCTTTTCAGCGAAAATTAATTCAAGCGAAAATAAAGTATTCCAAAGTATAAACATACAACAATACAAATTAATGATCAGCAAAAAATCAACTATTTTCTTCACACAGTTATGATCTTAAAATAGGGTGCCTTTAAAATTCTCAAAGTTGAATCCCTGATTATCAGTTATACAATTGC